TCACGAGAAGCCTCGCGCCCAGGGAGACGGCGCCCGGCACGCCGGCCGACGCACCCGGGGCTGCAGCTGGCAGAGCTGTGGGAGCAGCCCTGCCACCTCTCACAGCCCCACGAAGAGAAGGAAACCTTCGCGTGCCGAAAGCGACGCGGGCGCTGAGCTCCTCTCCCTGGTGTTCAGACGCCGAGCTCCCGGCTCCCGGTGTATCTGACCTTGGATGCAATGCGGGATCCTCAGCCCAGGAAGGGAAGAGTCGCGGAGAGTGCTGCCTTCCGGCACGGCACAATCTGTGCCCCGGGGGATGGGTTCAACGGGGGCAGCTCTGCAGCTGGTGCGAACTCGGCGTGGAGTGCGCTAGGCTGGACGGCACGGTGTTACCCTGTAGCGATGGCTTTTGCAAAGACCACACACGAGTCAGATGTAAGGTGCTGATGCCAGTATCTGTGCCGTGTATTTCCAACGTGATAAAAATAACTCCGAGTAACTGAAGATGTTTCCAGTTTGTGTTAATAAAATACATCTTTTTAAAGAATGGAATTCTTCAAAGATTGGCAAATTTTATTTTATTTCATTAGCTTTAATGTCACTGCCATATGGACTGTGAAGAAAAGTGAACCATTAGATCGGAGGGACGGAGTTATCAGCGTGACACAGAGAGCACTGATACAATTGTTAAGGATAAGCCCTGGGAGTGATTTATCGCGTGCATTGTATTAGCCACAGAGGAGTTATGATATGCTCCCCATTCCTGTATCATATTAGGATTTTATTAGTCTAATATGACACGGTAATATAATATATGATTAGAATTCCCATCCAGTTATCCTTCCCGTGGTGGCAGCGAGCGGGAGAAGGTTTGGTGTGCGGCAGCTCCCCAGCCGTCGTGCCGCGGTGGCGAGGGGATGGCGGGGACAGCGCGGCTGCCGAAGCGTCCGGGGCTTTCCGGGCAGGACGCGGGTGCTGCTCGCCTCCGGCTGGCGTGCTGGGTGGCTGGGCTGCGGCCGGGCACCTTCTCCCCATGCACCTGAAGTACAAAGCTGCTCGCTCCTTACGGCAAGCGGCGACAGGGAAGGATGGCACCGGCGCTTGGAGCCTTTGCTGCA